AGACCGTAGCCACTTTGAAATGCAGTGGAAAGAATTAAAATGAAACCTTTAGATTAGAACCTCAACTTCAAGAGAAAGAGGATGAACTTTCTTAATTATAGTTTGAGCTATCGAAGTTAGAGATGGATGCGAATACTTGCGCAAAACTTATTATCTATACTGAAAAAGAGTTGTCGAGTTACGGTATGCATATAACTGTATTTTACTAATAAATTCTTGTTAAGGGTTAATAGTAATGAATTAGAAGAATTAAATAATGAAATAGAAAAGCTTACGAAAGAAATTCAACAGAAAAGCCAAAATTGCTCGTTCCATCCGTATTAAAGCCGATGAAGCCAAATCAGTATTTATTCGTATTTATGTTTAATTATATCTGAATTTTTTTTTAAAAAAATATATATAATACTTATTTCCATTTTTCCTAATTATTTAGATAAATTGGAAAGTAAAAAAGAAGAATTAGATGAAATCAAGGAAAAACTTGATGAAAAAACCGAAATAATAAATCGGATTCGAACAATTAAGGTTTATATTTATATTTATTATTATTCTCTCAACATTACGTCAAATTTTTTTTATAACCAATCACTATGCATTTATTGTATTAGTTAAAAATCTAAAACAAGTTCGAAGATAATGAGCGCAATTTAGTGGAAAATAAACAAAAAGAAATTCAATGGGCGAAATTCTCTTAGTAAACTTACACTTCATGAATTGGGTAAGCGTGCTGATGATATTTTTAAAAATATTCATTCTACCATTTATCTAATTGACCTTATAAGTAGAGGTAATGAGAAGCAAGAATTTACACTGATGATGAGTTCGTTGCAGATACATTACAAGGAGAGATCGATGATCTTAAAGGTATTCTAATTTATCTTTTTTATATTCTACTTATTATTATTTATGTATAAAATTTTTTTTTTTAAAAAAAATTTCTTCAGAGAAAATACAAGTACCAATCCAAATCTAAGTGTTTTGGAAGATTGTCGTATTCGTGAGAAAGATATTTGTCACATGTTAGAGATTTACTTCTAAGCGTGATGAATGTAAAATGAATATGACAATTGGAAGGAGTTCACTTTAATATCTTAGAAACTCAAAGAAATGTATCAGATATCTAAATGGCAACGTTATATTTTATTTATACTCGACATAATGAATATTTATTTTGTCAAAATACAGACACTTAGTTCTTTGGCTTTGGTATTTGCTCTACACCAATTCAAACCTACACCCTCAAATGTTATGGATGAGATTGATGCGGCCTTGGATTTTTGCAATGTGTCAATCGTCGCCAACATTATTAAAGAACGTACTAAGGGCGAACAATTTATCGTTATTAGAAATGCTCCCAATTTATGGTTGAGTTGGAGGTACTGGATGACTCATTACATTCATCAATGCTTAACATGGAGAAATGGATTGTTGAAACTATCAACTACACAAGCGTAGTTGCATTATTAAAGCTGGTGCTAGTTATTATAATTGGTTAGTATATTCAATTGTTTTATTACAATTATCCAGACATTAAAAACTTATTTCATGATACGCAGAAAGAAATAAACAAATTGGATTCTTAAGATCAACTTAAGGTTTTGGTAAATGGGATCCCTATTTTTGAATTTTTTTTCGGTGTAAGTTTACAATAATAGAAAGAAGAAAACTGAATGCTAAATCTGAATGTATCTTGATCTATTACATTTATTATGGTAAAAAAAATAATTTTTTTGGATGTTCTTTTTCCCAACACTTATTTATTTGTTTCAATTGTTTCAAAGTAGTTGGTTTGTTGATTGTTATTAAAAAATTTTAATAGTTCAATTTCTAATTTAGGAATTTCATCTTTTTTGTTTGAAATTGAGGTTCAAAGCGGCTCCAACTTTGCTACTGTCTCGGGTATTATGTTTGAAGTAAATTTTGAATTCATGGCGCCTTTAAATACTTTGTCACTACCACCACTCATAGCATCATTCGCTTGTGTTAAATTTTGGACAATTAAAAACTATTTTATAAAATATCTAAAATAAGAGAATAGAAAATATTGATAAAGAAATGAAAATAACTTGATAGCTATGACTTAATTCGATATCGTCCATCATCGCCACTCATAGCGCAGATTGAAGTCACGCTTTGCTATATACGATCCTACTCGCTTGTGTTAGATTTTGGGAAATTAAAAACTATTTTAAAAAATAAGAGAATAGAAAATCTATATCCTTTATATTATTGTAATAAGCATTGATAAGAAGTGGTAGGTTCTAAGAAATAAATTGGTAACTGTGATTTAATTCTATGTCATCCATTAACCTTTGAGTTACTTTTTTTGCTTCCTTCTCGTTTTCATAAAAACGGAATAAAATTTTGATATTTCAATCTTGATAAATACTATATTTTAAGAGATAATTAAAGTATTCGTCATATGATAACCAACATCCTCACTCCTTTCATTTACATCAACATCACCCTTTCCATTCACCAAATATTCTTTGGAGCCCAATTTTCTTGAGGGTTGTCGGGTAGAAATTACCATACTGAACAATTTATATTGTTAATTTCGATTGTTTAGAACTCTTTTTTTTAAAAAAAATAATGAGTTGTGTAAGCAGATAATGTTATTAAAAAAAAAGATTTTATTATAATGGACTTTTTTAGAAATCTTGTTATTTTTTTGGTCCAGAGCGAAGCGAAGGACTATATATGGGAGTGTTTCTAGGAAAATCAGGTTCCGAGAAAATTTTGACTAAAATTTAGAGCTTACAGCTAATTTCATAAGTTACGGGACAGCCGAGAATATCCGAGACTTTTCCGAGAACATTTATAATGAATTGGAAAAAGCCAACCACATTTATATATGGTAAAAAAAAAATATGTCGCTATATTCGGAACACTGATCTGAACGTAGCGATTATGTTTTTACTTCAAAAAATTCTATACCGAGTTTTACCGAGTTTTTTTTTATCGATCTGCAAAATGATCGTCCGTCTCGTGACTTTTGAAATTAGCTGTAATCTAATAACATCAAAAAAATTCCCGGAACCTGATTTTCCTAGCAATCAACCCATATGGAGGGCGTCTAAAGTGGAGTAGTCACGTGAAATCTCACGTGATCGTAAGGATGATTGTGATTGGTCCGTTGGATATCAATAGGGGGTAATGGTCGATTTGTCACACAAAAATAAAAAAAATCAGCCACATATATATAAAGCATAAAAAGCATATGATAATAAAGTGTTCTATTTTCTCTATTGTTATAAAGAACATAAAGCGTTTTATTTTTATTAT